TATAAATATATGTATATATATATTTCTTAGTTCAAATAAAAAATGAAAACAGATCCAGAAATTGGGAATAATAAATGCATCCGTTGTATAAATATGTGGGTATATGAGGAAACACGCCAAATCCCTCCATCAACAAGAACAGTTTAATTCGTTCATCATAATCTTACAAAGTTTAAAGATAACTCGCATATCTTTTTATTTTATTTTTTTATTTTATTTCCAATGCAGATGTAACATCTATTTCCTCTGTCATGTCCACATCTCTATACATTCGATCTTCTGTTTGCATAATCCCCACACCAACACCCACTCTGGCTAACGAAACAGACGGCGAAACACACTCCGAGGGACACCTCCACTTATTATCATTATCATTTTCTTCCTTCTTATTATTTTTATTTTTCTTCTCCACATCTGCCAACTCCACAACTGTTGTATCTATACCAGAAGGATCTAAACCCACACGATCATTTTCTACCGTTATTGTTTCTGCCCTTTCCGCCCCTTTTCCCAACATTGTATCCACCAAACGAAATAATAAACAAATGATTCCCATACATGCGGCGGTAACGCGTAACATTCCACGAGCCCCAAGCGCCTCATATAAAATTCCACCCAACACATTTCCAATCACTGGGCCAATACCAAACATCCCAGCAGTGAGAAATCCCACAGAGGAGGCTCCCAATTCGGCTGGGTAATGACATCGGATGAGATGAACACTCGCAAGCCACATGGCACCAAATGTAAATCCATGTAAAGGTTCAAGAAGAAGAACATACCATGGATTTTGTAAGAGAGAGTAACCCAAAACTCGTACAACCCAAGCAATCATTGCAAAAGTCATGAGTTCTACATCTGTAAAGTGTTTATGAAGCCAATCGGCATAACGGAAGAATGGGATTTCAAAGATAACCGTCATCATAACGGAAAGTCCCAAGAGAATAGATGGTGCCCCAATCTCTGTGAGAAATATGAAAAGATAAGTTCCAATAAACACATATCCCATTCCCATACAACATACCGCTAACCAAAACACAAAAAGTCGTTTACGTTTTAAAACAAATAAAAATACTTCTACAAAGTGCATTTCTGTAGGTGGAATATCATCATATGCTTTACCATTATGCATACAATGTAATGTTGCCATCATACCTACTGCAAATTGTATTCCACTCACACCCCATCCAAAGTATGTTATAAGAAATGAAACCAATGGAGCTCCAATTCCCCAACCATAGGCACCATATGAACGTAATAAACCCCATTCATTACGTCTATCCTCTGGAAGCATAGACATAGTATGTTGATCCATAAGTGGTGCAAGAGGAACACTTCCTAAGAAATGTAAAAGAACACTAAATGCAACAAACCATTGATCTTTTGCTAAACTTGCCATAAGTAATGCAAAAGTAGCTATAATAGCCCCTATTGTAGATATTCGGGCACTACATCGTTCTCTGTCTGCCAAATATGCAAGGGGAGAAATTAATAAAAGATTACATATAGGCATCAATGCTGTAATCATTCCAACCATATTGGCATCAAACCCTTTTCGAGTGAGAAATACACCATAATAGGGTTGAACAGCTGCAAATGCAAAATAGGTACCAAAATAACCTATCTTTGCAGGGGCTAGGGATACATAACGTCTTGTAGAGGAAGAGTGTGTACCAGCAACAGGGGATTCTTCTAACATTTACAAACAAACAAACAAACAAACAAAAAAACTAATATATAGGAGAGGTGATTATCCTCTTCTTTTTTTTTTTCTCTTATTCTTTTGATTTTGATTTTTTTATTCCACCCCACCTCTCTTTCTCTTTATACGAGTGTGTGTATTACACGAGGAGAAATAACTATCCGGAGTAAGATACCCCCGGGTTGGTGTTTGTGTACCAATTTTAACTTAACCCCGCCCTTTTCCCCTGTGTGTGTTCTTCTTTTTCTTCTTTTATTTGCAAATAAAAGAGAGAAAGAATGAAGCACCAACTTGTTACGATAAAATAATAAGGGAATACACAGAATCCAATAACAACAACAACAAAAAAAAATAAAAGAAAAAAACCGTGACAATTTTCACAATTCAGATAGGCAATAGGAAGTGTATACCGCTTGTCAAATATAAAAAACAAAAACAAAAAAAACACCACCCCACCCCAAAGAAGAATACACCCGACACCAAACCCATCTAACCACTTCGATAGCAAATGGGAGAAGAATAAAGTTAAAAAAAAAAAAAAGATCGTAAGGAACCCCACACTTCAGCCACTTCTGATGAAAAATAAAAGTAACAATAATATATAGAGATAGAGCAGAGTATTTGTATTCGTTCACTGTATATAAATATTTGAGGTTTTGCGCTTCTATATATATATATATATATATATATATATTTATCGAGCCACCCAGCCACCATCCAGAGTAATGGCAGTACCTCGAATCTGATCTGCCCCTGGTGAAGCGAGATAAACCACAGCATCTCCAATCTGTTCAACCGTTACAAACGCATTGGATGGTTGTTTTTCTGATAACAGGTCGTGCGTTGCGGCTTCTTTATCACCATTAAACTTGGAATCTGCGATCGCCTTAATTTGTTCTTCCACAAGTGGTGTTAATACCCACCCAGGACAAACCGCATTACATGTAATTCCCGTTGTAGCCGTTTCCAAAGCCACAACTTTGGTTAATCCAATTAATCCATGCTTAGCAGCACAATAGGCAACCTTATTAACAGATGCAACTTGTCCATGAACAGAGGAAATATTAATAATACGTCCCCATCCACGACTTCGCATTCCAGGTAAACAAACTTGGGTAGCATGAAAGGCAGCTGAAAGATTAAGTGCGATGATATCATCCCATTTTTCAACAGGAAAAGTATCCACTGGGCATACATGTTGGATACCGGCATTATTTACCAAAATATCCACAGCACCAAGTTCCTTTTCTGCATATTTTAACATTCCTTCAATTTGTGAACGATCTTTTGTATCGGCCCCAAAGTAACGAACGCGTGTTCCATGAGAAGAGACGTTATTAATAAGATTTGGATCTCGAGGTGTTTGACTTCTGCCGTTAAGGATCACATCTGCACCGGCCTTTGCGAGTTGATGTGCAATGCCAAGACCAATGCCTCCTGTTGAGCCAGTCACAAGTGCCACCTTTCCAGCCAAAATACCTCCTCCCCGTTGAGTCATTTTCTTTTGTTTTTATTATTAATATAATTATTGCTTCTTTTTTCTTTGCCTTTTTTACTTTAGATTTGTTTTGTATTCGTGAATAATGATCTTCTCTATTAGAGAAAAAAAAAGGCAACAAGAACAAATAAATACATAAATAATACCAATATATATATATATATATATATATATATATATATTTATTCGTTATTACATCACTTTCTTGCTCTTTCCTTCTACCATTATTATACAAAAGAGAAAGATATCCCAAAAAACCAAAGGATCTGTACACATACTCTTTCAACTGTAACTAAAACCTCAACTATATTCCACCAGTCCCTTCCCTGGTTTCTATGATACGAACAATCTGTTCAGGGTTCATACCACGTCGCAACAGTTCGCGCACAATTCCCAGAGAGCGCTGAACAGGTTCTACCGCAGTAGGTTGAAAACGTTGTAATGGTGATCCTACTAAATACGCAATAGAAGCTAAACATTCCAATTTACTCTGCTCATTCAACATTATCAATTGAGGATTTTCCACCTTCTTTTCATTCGGTTGTTGTTGTTGTTGGGGAATTTCTCTTCTATTAATATTATTATTATCCAAAGCCGTTGTCGTGATTCCTTGTCCTTCGGAGATGAATGAAGATAAATAAGGAAGATGAGAGTTCATGGAAACTATTGAAGTGCCTACAGTTGCCGCATTACTATTATCCATGTATTCTCTATCTTCTCCCAACACCGCCGTTGTGTTGAGTGTTGAACGTCCATCAGTTGTGTTTGGCCCAACAAGATACGCCTCATCTGCAGCCCACCCTGAGACCGCCTTTGTAGGCTGTGAGTTCATCTCCTTTACCAAATAATATCAAGAAAGAAAGAAATAAGGAGAGAGACGGAATAAAAAATAAAATAATAAAGATTAAAACCAGCAAAAAATAAAAAAACCAGGGAAATTAATATTATAGAAAAAACTCCATGGATAGTCTAAAACTTACTTGCACCTTAATAATAATAATAAAGAAAATAAAATATTTCAATTTAATTATTAGCAAAATTATACATTGCCCCTCTTTCGCAGACACACACATATACATATTCCGATAAATATATAAATAAATAAATATATATATATTATTACCCCAGTGGGTTTTAAATATTTAAATAAATAACAGAACTCCCGAAATGGAAGTATTGAGAAGTCCCCCGCCTCCCCTCTTTAGAGGGTATGGGTGTGTGGAGATTATTAAATGGGCCTTTGAAGAGTTACCGCCGTCTGGAGACTGTAAAAGTAAAAATAAAAAAAGTAAATAAAAAAAAGAGAAAAATACAACACAGACACTCACAAAAGTATTCCCAATATTAAAAATTGTTTGCATAATAAATGTAAGATTTGATCATTCGTTTCGCAAAAACGTTATCTTTTTTTTTCTTTTTCTTTTCATTAAATCTTCCTTCTCATTACATAATTAATCCTGTAAAGGAAATAAAACAATAAAAAAAAAACATAGAATATCACCATTAAAGCCAATATCAACAACGTACGAGAAGAGTAAATAATAAATAATAATAATAATAATAATAATAATAATAATAATAATAAAATGCTCTACATTGTAAATTCCAGGGTTTCCTCCGGTACTTCACAACGAGCACACTCCACCTTCATTTCTGCTTTCGTGTCTGTTAAACCTTCTACAGCAGTCACCACAACTTCTCTTCGCTCTAAAATACGATCAATCACTTGAAACAGTACAAGACCACACATCATTCCAATAGAAGCCGTACGAAATAACATTCTTGGTCCTAACATTTGATAAAGATTACCGGCAATTATATTCCCTATAATAGGTCCAATACCAGCCACAAACATATAGTGAAAACCTGTAGCGGAGTTGGAAAGATGTGAAGGAAACGTATTATTAACAGTGTGAACGCCTGGTAACCACATAAGGGCAAACGTAACACCATGAAGAGGTTCAAGAAATAACACCATCCATGGATTTTTAAGAAATGAGTATCCAAGTACTCTTCCAGACCAAATAAACATTGAAATAGAAAGCATTTGACGATCTGTAAACCATCGACCAAGTACTTTTGAGCATTTAAAAATAGGAATCTCTGTACTTACTGTTAAAGTAAGTGAAAGTCCCATTAATAACTTAGATCCACCAAGACTTTCAAGAAAAATAAAAAGGAATGTATTAATAAAAGAATATCCCATTCCCATAAGACATGAAGCTAAAAGGAATAAAAGAAGCCGATGATGACCAAGAACAAATTGAAAAACTTCATGAAATCGCATAGGAGTTCTTTCTAATTTTTCATAAGGTTTTGTAGTAAATATACAGTAAAGAAGTGCTAATTGTCCAAATGCATATTGTATAGAAGCAATACTCCAACTCCCTTTCCATTCTACAATCCACGCCGCAAAAGGATTTCCAATTCCCCATCCATATGCCCCAAGTGAACGTAATGCTCCCCATGAATCTAATCGTGTTTCCTTTGGCAACATAGAAAGAACATGTTGATCAAATAGAGGATTTAATGGTGCCTGGAAAGCCACAAGTGCAATAAAGGCTGTAAGGAGAATAGGATATGTAGGGGTAGATAAAAAGATAACAGAGGATAATGTTGTCCCAATAGCACACACAACAAGAAAAGATCGTAAACAACGAAAACGATCCACAAGATAGGTTACTACAGGAAGTAGAAATACACTAAAGAGTGGAATAGAGGCTACTAAAAGTCCAATATGTCGTGAACTTAATCCTACGGAAGTGAAGATAACTCCAAAATAGGCAAAGATAGCACCAGTACCAAAGAAATAACCAAAATAACCAAATTTTGCGGATCGTATTTCTGCCTTCGATGGGGCTGTAGGGACATGAATGGTTTGAATTTCCTCTTGGACAGTATCTTTAGATTGATCCAACGGTACATTCTCTTTTGAGGGCATTGTAGAGGTCAACACATCTTCTTTATTCATTTCTATTGTTTTATTTTATTATATTTTTATATTTGTTCTGTATTCTCCCCCTTTTAAAAAGAAATAATAAAATAAAAAATAAAATAAAACGTACAACTTACCTTGTATGGAAAATCCACACAAAAAGAAAAAAAAAAAAAGTAAAGAAAAATAAAATACTGATAGTATTAAATAACAATAATAATAAGAGTAAGCAAATTGAATGAGTTCATCGTGTTTTAGAGATGACGTTTATTATTATTATTATTATTTATTTTTTTCTTCTTCTTCTGAGACTAACCGCATATAAAACCATTCAACGGATAACAAATGCAGATAAGAACACCACCACTATCATTATCATTATCAACAATAACAACAACAACAACAACAACAACAACAACAACAACAGATAGAGAAATAGATAGATAGATGGATCAAAGGACTAGGACTGTTTTCAAGATGAATAAAAATGAGCTTCAACAGTTTCCACCCTCACATACTGTATACAATTTATGATTCTGTAAATGACAAAAAAACAAGTTATAAAAATCTTTTCTTTAACAAGAGATGTACGCCGAAGAAAGTAATAATAATAATAATAATAATAATAATAATAATAATAATAATAATAATAATAA